AGGGCTGGAATGGGAGCCCTGGGAGTGGAGGAGCCTCTCCAGGGCTGCTCCTGCCTCTGTCCTGGGGATGCAGTGAGGGAGAACAGGCCTTTCTCTCCCATTCCATAAGCCCCCTGATGTCCTGGGGAGACGTGCCAGGACACATTTTATGCAGAGAGGGATTTTGATGGAGCTCTCAGACGTGCAGGTGGAACTCTGGAGGCAAACAAGCGGCGCTGGTTTTGTGGGGATGTTGAAACACCCTGAAACCACTTATCAACCTGAGAGGCACCCAGAGCCCCTTCCAGTCAGCAAGAGAACCTCACACTGCAGTTACTTTCTGAAATTCCTGCTTTTTTTTTGAGCACATTTTGCATCACCAACTCCCCCCCCTCCACTCCCCTGTGAACCTCTGTCCAGGCTGCACTGAGAGGAGGGTGCTCTGCACTTGTCTGGCCTTTGACAGCTGCACAAAAGCACCACCTACAAAGACAAGGGTCTCATTTCCATCCCCTCCACTCTTTAAAAATCATATTGCCTGCACAAATGAACCCAGTGTTTGTGACTGCAGGATGCAGCCCCCAGTCTCACACACACAGAGGTTACAGACAGAAAAAAAAAAAATCTTACCAAAAGGATTCTGTCCACACCAAAAAACCAGCACTGAATGAGCCGTGCCATGCCACAGTTTGAACTGTGTTTTATGACTAATCTCGAGCCAAAGGGAGCTCACCTGAGGCCCCTGCTGCAGTTTAAATGGCCTTTCACAAACACAGTCAGCTGTGCCCGGGAAACAGGAGCGGGGCATTCAGGGGAGCTCCCTTGGCACAGGGAACAGGTGCCCATTGACACACGGAAGGACAGTTCTGGGAAACAAAACCCAGGGGCAATTGTTCAGAAAATAACCCTGCTTTGGATGCCTGAGCATTCCCAGAGCAGCTCCAGCCATCCCAGTTTGGGGCTGCACCTCCTCCCCGTTGGGCTTTTTGTGTTTCCCTGCCGTTTCCTCCATCACAGCCACGGGCACACTGAGCCAAATCAGGCCTGTTTTGGCAAAAAAATCTCTTTGTAAAAGGCAGCACCTGCTGCTGGGACCTCCAAATGGAAAGAGAAGCAGCACGTCTGGAATCTCAGTCGCCAGAAATGACACGGAACAGAGCCCTGAGATGCCTCGAAACTCGTGCTCCCGCATTTTTTTTTAAGCCATTCCACATTCTTGGGGCTTTCTCATTCATTTTACGTTTTTGTTGTGTTCAAGCATCTCCGGGCTTTCCTTTGCTGCTCCTTCCGAGTGATTTATTCCCTCAGGAAAACACGCATTAAAATTTTAACAGGGCTGTTCTGCAACGGGACACGTGGGAGGTGGCACCGAGCAGAGGAGATGGAGGAGGGGAGGGGGATGCCAGAGGTGTGCCAGATGTTAGGGGAAGGAAGGACTGTGATTTAGCCACCAAATCCAGCCCCCATAACCTCCCCTAGGAGTCTGACAGCAGAATAAAAATCCCTCTGCATTTGGAAAGATCCCGGACGCAAAAACTCCTTGTTAACACTCGCCCGAGGTGGAAGCGGGTGACTCATTCCAGGAAAGGGACACCCCGCGGGCACCACCACGGGCACGAACCCGCCGGCAGCCAGAGGGGGGGGCACGACCCTGAGCCCTCCCTGCCCCCCTGGACGAGCCCCCAGACCCCCTTTTCCCGGTGGTACCCGGCGGGGTGGCAGGAGGGGGCTCTGCCGCCGAGCCCCGGTGCCCCCCAGGGATGCCCGGAGGGGGATTCGGGTCCAGCTCGGACCCTCCCGCGGGATCGGGAGCAGCTCCGGGCGGACCCCCCGCCCCTGTCCCGCTGTCGGGAGGGGGGTCCCGGCGGTCCTGCCCCCCCATCCACCCCCGCTGCACGTACCTGTCCCGGCTGAACGGGGGGGGGAATCCCAACACACCTGTCCCGGCTGAACGGGGGGGGAATCCCAACACACCTGTCCCGGCTGAACCGGGGGGGGTTCCCAACACACCTGTCCCGGTTATACGGGGGAATCCCGACACACCTGTCCCAGCCGAACCGGGGGGTTCCCATCGCACCTGTCCCAGCCGAACTGAGAGTCCCAACGCACCTGTCCCAGCCGAACCGGGGGGGTTCCCAGAGCACCTTTCCCAGCTATACGGGGGGGTCCCAGCGCACCTTTCCCAGCTATATCAGGGGGTCCCAACTCACCTTTCCCAGGTATACGGGGGGGTCCCAACGCACCTGTCGCGGCCGAACCGGCGACTGTCCCCCCTCAGCCGCCTCAGCGCCGGGCAGCGCCTCTGGCCACGCCCCCTTTCCATGTGGCCACGCCCCGCCCCGCCCCTAACCACGCCCCCTCGCAGGGGTCCGCCCCCCGCCCGTTTCCCGCCCTCGGCGGCTCTGAGGGGCCGTGAGGGGAGCGGGAAGGGGAGGGTCTGAGGGTTCCTCGTCACGGAGATGCTCCAGTCCCTTCATCGCCCTCCCAGCCTCCAGTGCACCCGCTCCATGTTCCTCCTGTCCTGAGGAGCCCAGAACTGGACGCAGATCCCATAGGTGCCTCCCCAGGGCTGAGGGTCCCCCGGCCGAAGCCCTCCCACACACACACACAAAGGTGGGCTGGGGGGCCACAGGTGCTTCCCCAAGCCTGGCAAGGTGAAGGCGGGATGAGGGGTCTCAGGGTTGGTGCTTGTCAGACCCCCCCAAAAGCCCTTTCCGAGGCCTGAGGGAAGGGCCGTCTGAGGGAAGCTGCGCCCACTCTGGGTTCAGAACCTCCCACGGCCTCGCTTTGTTCGGGAAACAAGAAAAAAAAGGGGGTTGTTTGAAAACGAGATAAAGGAGGTTCAGCAGCCAGAAGGGACAGCTTGGCATTCCTGAGATATGGAACATCCCTGTGTTCCTGTGCTCCCCGCCGGCCCTGCGGCTCCTCCGGGAGTTTATCTGAGCAGTTCTGTCAGGAACAGCTTTAGGTGTCTGTTTCTTTCTCTTTCCTTGTTGTTTTTCCTAATGTGTGAAGTACAAAATTCCTGAGTTAAAATAATTGTGTGTGCCTGGTTATCCAGCCCCACTGCACCTGTTGGACGTGGACATTGTCCCCACAGCTCGCTTTGGGCTGTCCCAAATTATTGGGACATATATATATATGTGTCCCTTTGTCCTGTGCCTGTGGAGCAGCTCAGGATCTTCTGGCCATTAAGACAGGAAGTGACTAATTAAATTAATATGCTGGTGTTACTTTTATGGCAGTCTCAGCACTGACATGTGAAATCCAGTCATTGCAGGAAAAAGCCTGGAGTCCAGGAATCCATACACTGTGAGTGACAGAATCCAAGGCTCCAACAACGGCACAGGGATGGGATCCTGGTGGGCTGGAGGCAGCTCTGGGTGGTGCAGGTGTGACACTGGCCCTGGAGCGTGTCAGATAAACTCGGATGTGCTGCTACTGAACGTGGGACTTGTACAGGATCTCACCTGTTTGTCTGGGTTGGGCGACCAGGACACTTCCAGCTGGATTCCTGTCCCTGCTCACACAGAGCTGCCACTCAGCAAGAGCTGCAGATCCTGGCAAGTGTCCCCTCGGTTTCTTCTCCAGCTGAACAAGCCACATTCACTCCTGCTGCTGCCCATTTTCCCCTCCTGAGCATCCCAGAGATGTCAAGGGTGAGTCTGAGCCCTTTTAGAGGCCACTGATAACCATGTGGGTGTGAATTCGTGTGCTCCTGTTCTAACTTGACGTTGCCCCCGTGGTCTTCTGTGGCACCACGGTCCAGACTGAGCAGTTGAGACCACAACTGCACTCCAGTGCTCTGAGGATTTGGGGTTTTGGCCTCATTTCAGTGTCCTCCCGTTGCCTTTTTTGGCTGCCCCAGCACCAGGAGCCGGTGGCTTCAGAGAACTGGCAGTGACAACGCTGTGATCTCACTCCCCAGTTGCAGCTGAGGGCTCTGAGCTCTGATCTCATTCCTGAGGTGCAGCTGAGGGCTCTGAGCTCAGCACTGCTCTGGTTTTCTGGTGCTTTGGTGAGAGGTTTTGCAAATTGTGTAAAAGGTGATGAGTCAGTGAGATATAAACAGCCTGTTCTGGGGAAATAACCTCGGGGGTGATTCTTAATGTGTTGGTGGTGCCTGGTGCTTTCCAGGGACGGCATCTTTCCTGGAGTCAGCCCTGGAGCTGCGGGATGGAACCAGGCTGGTAGGTTCATACCAGAGGGGAGAATCCAAAGAAACATTTTCTGTTTTCACTCCTACCTTTCCAGTGTTTCGTCTGGGTCTGGCTCTCGGTGCTGCACACTCTGACTCCCAGTGTTGTGGCTCTCCAGCTCCCCACAGCCCAGGCCCAGCACCAGCAGACAAGGGTGAGGCAGCAGCTGGAGAAACCCCTGGGCAATGCTCGGACACCCTCATGGTGGTTTTTTTTTTGGGTTTTGAGGTCTCCACCCAAGCAGTGAACTCCACGTGACCCCTCCCAACAGCACTACTGGTTTGTTTAATCAGCGATTAAACTGGAATTTTACTTCCATTTCCAAACATGCTCTGTCAGCCCCTACATTCCCTTTTTTTTTTTTTTTGTGAAAGAGCCACGGCAACGGGAAAACACCTTCCTGAAACTCCTTTGGCACCTTTGCTGAGGTGGCACCGCACACCTGGGTCAGGTGTGGTGACTTTAGGGCTGAGGAGCAGAAGCTTTGAGCCCTCCCTCCAGACAGGGAGCTCCACCACCTCCCTGGGCAGCCCCTTCCAAGGCCTGACAGCCCTTTCCATGAAAAAATTCTTCCTGATGTCCCCCCTGAACCTGCCCTGGCACAGCTCAGTTGCTGTCCCAGTGTCTCTAGCAGGCCCTGCAGCCCTTTCTGAGCTCTCATCCAGTTCAGGACTCCAGGACTGTGTCTTCCAGCACCATCAGGAGATCCTTCTCTGGCCCTTTCCAGGCAGTTTGGATATCCTGAACCATTTTGTGTCGTCAGCAAACATGGGCACTTCACCATTTGCCTCTTTTTCCAGCTCCTTGGTGCCTGTGCTGTACAATTTGGGGCTGGGCACGGGTAGAGCTCCACGCTGGAGGTTTACAGAGCAAAAGCTGCTGTTATTCCATGATGAACTAATCCCAAGCTCCCTCCAGCACAGCCACACCATTTCCAAGCCATTCCAAGAGGACAGGCTGAGCTCTTCCCTCTCTGCCTGCAGGTAACTTTAGCCAGGTGAGTGCTCCCTGTGACTCTTTCGTTCCCAGGCAGCCAGAGCTGCTGCTTCTTGGATTACAGATCCATTCTCCCTCAGCCCTCAGGGACTGGGAGGGATATTGGATCCCCCCTGCTGAACAAGGTTATGGATCCCTTCCCTCTGTGCCCATGTCAGGTTATTGCAGAGGCCACAAAGGGAAGGGATGGATGGATTCCCTGAAGGATCTCTCTTCCCTGTGGGACAGAGGCAGAACTGTTGGGCCCTTTCCTGGCTGTCCTTGGCATCCTGGCTGTGGAGCAGGAAAGCCAGGGTTCCTCCTGGTCCTCTGACAAGGGAGTGTTTCCCAGCCACTCATCCAGTGTTTTGGGATCTTCCTAATTAGCCCCTGGAAGGTGACTCTGGCAGTGTTGGGAATTCAGGAAGCACCATCCCCGTTTTACAAGGGTGAAGTGAGGAACAGGAATCCAGCTGGGATTAAAGTCTGGGGTCCTGCCCTCCCCCTGGGGCACTGTGTGCTCCTCCTCAGCCAAGAGAGTCCTGTATGGATTTAAATACCTCGGGAAGAGGAAGGAGAGATGGAGAAGGAGGGAAGAGCAGGAAGGCTGGTCACTGCTGAGATAATCCATAACATCTCCCAAACAGCTTTCCTTTGCTGATGGTGTGGGTCTGCCCAGAGCTGCTGTGCCCAGGGCAGGGCAGGGCTGGCCAGATGAACCCATTAATGCCATTCCCTTTATTCCACCTCTTTCCTGGGGCTTATCAGATGTCGAGGGGCCCTTTGGACTTTTTTGCCTTTTGACTTACTTGCCTCTCAGCCCCGAGGGCCCGTCTGCAGCACAGCTCCTGCAAAGCAGGGTGTCCCTGCCTTCTGCTGGTGTCTCCCAGGCCTTTTGCTAAGCTGGAGGCTTCAGTGGAGTTAAACATTAACGTCCTGCCCAGCTCCAGCTGTCCAAGGTCCAGGAGGGAGCCGCGCTGAGTCAGCCTGGCAGCTGCATTTCCTGCTCCCGCTCTCTCTCCCGGTGATTCACTCCCCGCCAGGAAGTCTTGCCCTGGATGGAGCGGTGGGAAGGTGGCACAGGGACACTTCAGCTCTCCTGCACGTACCACTGGAGATCAGCTCCTGAGGGCTGGATGACCCAGTGGGTTTCCTGGCTGGAATGTGGTGCAGCAAGAGGGGAAAACTCCCAGCTACCAAAACACCCGCCCGAGCTGCAGAAGGATTCCGTGCCCCACGGCAGCCCCACAGCAGGTCCTTGCTCCTCCCAGGCAGCTGTGACTCCATGTGAGCCCATTACTGTCCTGCTGCTCCCCGCATGGATTATTTGTTCATTTTTTTTTTACTGGATTATTTCGATTTGATTAAATAAAAAAAAAGGTAAATCCTTTTCCCCGGGGCGGCGCGAAGGGCCCGGTGCCGCAGCAGGAGGGCAGGAGGCAGATGGGAAGAGCTGGTTTATTTGGTCTTATTGCCACAGTTTCCCACCCCAGCACTGCCAAGGCTTTGGGTGTAGCCAGAGTCTGCCACGGGAGATGGATTGTTCAGGGCTGGCAGCTCCAGGGGTTTGCTTGGCGTCTTGGGCTCGGCCCCCACGATGGCTCCGAGCTGCCTGAGGCTTCCTGGGGCACCTCTCCCACACTGCTGGGACTCAGAGAGTCCACTCAGTCACTTCAGCATCCATGGAAGGTTGTGAAAACACAAGGCACAGTCTCTGTTGAGCTCAGGCCCAGAAGCAGAGCCAAGAGTCTCCCTGGCTTTGGGTAAAACTTTGCTGTGGTTACAGGGATCATGTGATGGCAGCTGATCTCTCCAACCTCCAGCATTCCTGCTTCAGGCCTCTCCTGCTGCACAGAAACACACTGAGAGTTCAACACAGCATCTCTTAGCTCGGCTAATCGTTTATTGACAGCAGAATTATCAGCCAAGTGTCGTTGAGGAAACTCCTCTGCCCCTGCTTGTGTTTCTGATCCTGCCAGGCCTCTTCCCAGCCTGCAAACCCAGCCACGAACCCTCAGCATCCTCAGTTAAAGGAATTTCCAAACAGGCACAGCTTCTCCCTCCAGCCCAAGGGAACGCTCTGGCCCGCTCAGCACAACATGCCAGGGCTATCAATTCCTCAAGGTTGGCTTCTCATCCCG